GCCGCGGGCCGGGAGCGGTGCGAGGTTTCCCGCACATCTCCGCTGCCGCCCCCCTCCCGCCACGGGCTTCGTCACCGGAGCCCGGCCCCGCTCCGCTCTGCCGGGCTGCCCCCCGCCCGGCGCCGCCGCCTTTGTCCCCGGGTCCCTCCTGCCTCGCCGCCAGAACCTGCAGGTTGAAGGAGCATCCCTGGCGCCTCCCTCCCCTGCTCCTCGGGCCGGCATATCCTTCCGACCGCGGCCCCGTGCTGTGGGAGAAACCTGCCCTGAGGATACCGCTTATTCCTCTGTGAAATCTGCCCCCGTCCTGGTGGTCCTTTCTGTCGGGAGCAGGAGTGCTGGCATCACTGCACACATTGGACAGAACCCGGTAAAGGGTTCAGAAAGTTCATAAAGTGGATTTCCTAGGAAACATTTAGGCACATTTCCTATATCCTTGCATAATATCCCCTGACTTTTAGCCTAATGCACTTTTTCTTGGGCTACACTACCTCTCAGTAGACTGTTTTTGGCTAGTGTGTCATTGCAAAAAGGAAAGATACTCCAGGCCAGAGCGGTGCTGCCACCTATTTCCTGCATGGGTATCCTTAAAAAGCTCCAGGGAATCGCTAGCTTTGTGTTCCTGAGGAGTCCGGGTAAATTGTTTGACTCCAGGGTTAAACCGGTGCAACCTCAGCTTCCTGACCATGCTGAAAACCTGGTCAAGACATCCTCCTGCTATGAAGAAACATCAAATCTGGTGCCAGAGTGTGGGATGCAGAGCAGATGGCCTGTTCATGGAGGGAACATCAGAATGAAGAAGGATGAAGAACCCTTTTGGTGTTATCTCCTGAAGTCTCAGTCAGTTAAGCTACAATTTCTTGGATGTTTTTCTGCATAAGTCTGTTGCTCCTTGGTTTCTGAGCCCAGATATACCCTTGGCAAACTAAGGCAACCACCTGTTCTTTGGTGAAGCAGAACAGCAGGACTTCCCTGCTCCTGGTGGTGTTCATCCCTTCCACGGCTGCTGCCGGCCCTTCTCTCCCAAAGTAACTTTATCCTTTTACTATCAAAAAGGTAGGAGGGTCTTAAGACAGAGCATGGACATTACTTGTGTTCATATGGGATCTGCAGGTGATGGTAACACGTTGCACAGAGATGAAGATGTGAAGAGGACAATTCTGACCTAGCAGGTACCCAAACCAGGGCAGTTCCCTAGAGGGGAGAGCACGGCGCTGTGCAAGCCAGCAGTGAGGCTCCTTTGCTCCCTGCTGGGGGGACCCCTCAGAGCAGGTGGAGCAGCAGCCAGGGCTGTGCTCTGACCTGGGAGCCCACCTTGGCGGCAGAATGTGCAGTCCCAGCCACGGCCAGTCAGTTCTTTCTGGGACAGCCCTTCAGGCCTGAAAAACAGCAGGTGTCTGTGCCAAGAGGTCACTGCTTCTGGGGTCTGGAGCCCCTCTGACAGGCCCCAGATGCGCCATGGCCAGTGCAGTGTGTGATCAGGCTGTGCCCCATCTCCTGCTGCTCACCACCCTGATCCAGGCCACCAGAAGATAACCTGCTCTGCAATGGGACGTGCTGCCGCTGCTCATGGCTGCATCATGTCTTGAAGACACCCAGGCATTTTCCAAGCCAAGCCTTTTATTTACAAGGCTTTACTCACATCCTTCCCCACAGGAAGCAGAAAGTACTTCTCCCAGACCCTCCCAAGTAGTGATCTGACTAGCAGATCCGCAGCTGCCGGTGGAAGAGCAGGAGGAGCCTGCAGAACAATCGTTCCTTGCTAACTGAAGTCAACAAGGGAGAAGTCTCCAGCTGCTACACCAGAGACACAGGTGCAGCTCCACAGTGGTGGTGCCCAGTCCAGTCGGTGTATTGCTGAACCTCACTGATGTTTGCTTCATCTTTCCAAGCAAGGCTGTTTTTTCTAGGTAAAACCTTGTACAGTTTGAGCTTTACTGATGTTTCTGCAGAAACTGAGCTCAGTAGACAGGGGGGCTCCTCAGAGGAAGTGAGGAGATTAATAATAGCCATAAGGGAAGTCAGTGTGATGATTAAGACTTGCTTTCAGTACTCTGGAAATGCCTGTACTTTTGGGAAAGTTAATGGTACAGATCCACCCTACCACCATCCACAAGGGGTTTGCTGTCGTTCTGGTGCTCAGGTGGCCATTGAAGCATGGTGACCTGCTGTGCTTTGGCATCTGGAGTCCTGTATGCTTTGAAGGTGGCACTGAAGTTTCTGGGTGCCCAGATAGCATCTGGTCCTGACAAACACCATTAGCAACAAAGAGAGAGAGAGATGGGGTCAGCAGGTTTGCATGAGCAAGACTGAGTTGGGTGGACACTATGCATTGTTGCCTGTTCTGCTCCCTCGTCTTCCCCTCCAGGCGGACATTGCATTGCAGGAGGGGAAAATCCCTTTAGCTTGGAAAAGCAAGACAGCAGTGCTAGAGTAGAGAGGTGATGAGGCTTGGTGGTATCAGAAAGGGTCTGGCCCAGGTGATCTATGGGCAGGTGGATCTGAGGGCTGAGATGAGGTAGATTTTTAAAGTGGTTTGATGACTTGGGAAAAGACTAGATCAGTGTACAGTTTTATGATCAATAGCAAACCTGGTGTTGCAAGCAGATTTTTAATCAACACAAATAATGCATAACACTGGAGTGATTTTGGTGGGTTTGTGGTTTTTAGGTTTAGTGAAGAAACCCTGTTTCCTGCTGGCATTCAGAATGCCCTAAGATTTCCCTGTGGTAATTTAAGATGAAGTGTAAGAGAAGCTGGTAAACAACATACTATGGATTCTTTCTGTTATGTTTGGCCATGGGGCCTTCTACAAGATGCCAGTGAGAAGCACTTTTAATATGCATGTCATCTTATGCTTTTGATGCCCATCTAAGACAGCATCAAAGCCTATCCCCTGCATAGAATCAAATGGACACTTCCACTCTCTTCAGTCAGGGATGAAATTTTAAAGTGAATTATTGCATTATACGAGTTTTAGACAGAAAACAACCTACTGGGTAAAATTGCTCTTGATGTTAACTCCTGAACTCAGCAGGTGACACAAAGAATGAATTTGGTCCCTGGTAATAGCTGAGTGATACAGAGCCTCATTGAAGTCTTACCAAAGCATTCCCTCTACAGGGCTATGTGAGTATTACAGAAGACACTCTATAGCTCACGTCTGTGCTACTGCTTCCCGCCCCCCAAAAGAGGGGTGGTTCTCCCACAGCCCACGCATCAGGTGCGGGAGCGGGCACAGGGTCAGGAGGAATCCAAGTGGGACTCTCCCAGGACCTTGCTTTTCCAAGGCAGCCTGGGAAGCACGCACCTCTGCGTGTGCATCCAGGCCATGCTCTAGTTTACACATGCTGAAGACCCATCTTGTAAAACATGTACTCCATGAATAATTTACATGCATTATAAATCCTCTGTGCCATTGGTATTTTCTCATAAATCAGCACCAAGCACTAATCCTTGAGTCATGTTTTGAAATACACTGTCCAGAGTGCAACAGTGGCAGCTCTGTTTTGTGTGACAAAGCTGTATGATAACAAAAATGTGCAACGCTCCTATCTGTGCTATCAAGATAGGTACCTCACTGCCTGATTAAGCAGTATTTTCAGCTAGAACATTTTTACAAGTAGCAGCTACCTGAAGAACCATCTTGCATCATTCTTCCTTCCTTCTCCAGATCAGCTGAACCTTCCCCTGAAAAGTCTTCCTCCCTCCACTTGCCCATTTGGGTGAGCTAGGAGGGAAAAGCAGTCTCTTAGAAG